AATAAAAAATAAAAGGCACCCTTAAAAAACTAAATCATTGACCATTTTTAACAAAAAAATGAAAAACAATTGTGGATAGATGGAATAGTTTTGTGTGAAAACGTATTTCTTATATATGTCTCCCTTTTTCTGAACCGGAGGTAATTGACTCTTTTTTGAAAACTTTCTTAGAGCCTGTTATGTTTTTCCATAGACATTCAATCGAATACAAAAATAGCTTTTACTAACTGTTGCTTCTATGCTGAGTATTAGCTTCTTATCATCACGTTACCATAGATCAACTTGTTGCTACTGATAAGTGAGTCTTAATAAACCTGTGCTTCTTTGTCTTCATGGTTATATAACTTGTATTAAAGTTCTCTTTTATGTAGTTGTCACGCTTATATATTCATTGAAAATTCAAACTTTTCAATACAATAATGAGGAGCTGGGTTATGACCAACTTATCAAAATATTTCAGGGCGAGCGCTTCTCTGGTTATCGTTGGATCCGTCCTTCATCATGACCCAAAATAGTTCTTTTTGAAATGTGATACGCTTTGAACTACCTTATTGAAAATAAGCATAATGTCAAAGTATTCGATAAAAATTGTATCGGTAAAAGAAAGGTGTTGATAATTTTGTTACGATTAAATCTGATTTCTCCAAGTTCTGTACTGGAAATTCAGTTCCTATTAAAGACAACCTGATCCTATAAACGAATGCCAAACACTTGAAATTGTTAATTTTAGATGAAACGATAATGGAGTGGTTTGCATAATAGGACAAAATTGAATAATGGATACAAGAATAAATCACAAGGAGATCTGTTCTGTTAATGCGTTATCATTCAGTCTTTTCAAACTTTTAGTATAATTAATTACTTTTTGATTGATACGTGTTCAGATATCTTATAGGTTACAATTTTTTGCAATGTAAATTGTGGCTTACAGGTATTTTCAAGAAATTTTCTTTCAGCAAAATTTCGCCAATCACTTTGCCTATTGCAAGAAAAAGGGAAACTGCCGGGAAAAATATAATGCTAAAATCGAAACACATTTGCCATATAAAAGTAAAATTCCAGATTCCAAATGCAAGATCTTGTCTACATAGTGTGTTCACCAATCAATTAAGATCAGCTGTGCCACATCGAGCCAACCATATTTAACAATCAAAACAAATCTTTACCTCCGTTTTTTATCATTTATTTCATAATGCAAAAATACACGACTGAAGAAATTAAGGAGGAAATTGAGCACGATGACGATACTAACCAAGAAATTGATTACATATCACTATTTGCCAAAGAAAAGTAACTTGATTTGAGTTCTAATATGAATATAAAATATTCTAAGAAAAAAAAAAAATTTAATTGAATTATTTGAAAAAAAAAAAAAAAAAAAAAAAATTAGAAAAATTGGTGGAGGTATACCAAAACGTGGCAGTAAAGATTTCGAACCAGATGGATCAGAGAGCCAACGTGACACTCTCTCAAATTCATTAAATGCTCTTCAAAAAGCATTAAGTGAAGAACGAAATGTATCAAGGTAAAAAAAAAAGTCTGTTGTTTCCACGTGAGTTTTCGCGCATTAACGACATTACCTTTAATGATTCATTTTCCTGATGCTTTAAGTCGGCAATTATGTAAAGCAATTTGGCATCCAGCTCCAATATCGAAGGCAATGATCACTGTTAGTAAAGGATCACATTTCCATAACATGGGACATGCTGTAGAAGGAAAAATGTGGTTATATCCTGAAGAATGTTTGTTTCTTACGGACAGATGTTCATTGAGCATACAATGCCATGATGTGGAGATGTCCCTACAACATGCTTATTGCGAAATGATAGGCGGGTGGTTAACGTTAGAGAAATATCAGGTAAGGGAACAAGGAAATAAGTGTTACGGAATTTCTTAATTGATTAGAACTTTATTTTTTAGGTTTATTCGTATTTGAAAAGGATTGGGTTTACGGTATTAAGAACGCAATATTCACAATCAGCACAATCATCTTCAAATATTATGAGTACTTCCTCATTATCCTCACAAATGCAATCAACATCTCAACCTCTTTCACATACAAATTCCACATCCCATCAATTACAACCGCAACGATTACATTTTTCATGGCTTTTATATCGATTAAGTTCCTTCATCATTTCTCCATTCATCTACATTACAAATTTACTCAATTCATCAGAACCTTCAACTACCAAATCTACAAATAACAAAGATACAACGGATCAAAGAGGAGAAACTTTAGTTGGATCTGGTGAATGTGAAACATATGGTAAATCAATAACATTCTAAATACCTCATAGATTATTTTCCCTTTTTTTTTCGCTTAACTTTCTTTTCTGGCCTTCATTAAACGACAGAACAAGTATATAAGAAATTACAAATAATCGAATCATCGTCAATCACGCATTCATTGTTACATTATAATACCACCGCTGAAGATGATGATTATAATATTGACTTTCTGGTGTATAAAGAATCTGCACCTGGTAAATTCAAGAAAAAAAATCCCGGAACACCTTTATTTCACGTTGTTGTAGCAAGGTATTTTATTTTTTTTATTAAAAAAAAAAAACCACATCACTGCATGAATGTTCGTGCACATTGAATTAATATAATTTAATATATTTTTATTTTTATTTAGTGCTGAAACACAAAAACCTCCATCTCCATCAACTCTTTACAAATTATTCACATCATCACAAATTTCCTCTTCAGCTATAAAAAGTATTTTATTCGCAGTTGTAGATGGATCAAATATTTCATTTCTAGAATATAATGATATAAATTTTAATAATGTGCATGTAAATTTAATCAGTAACCATATTCCTGTTGAACTCAAAAAGAAAAAGAAAAAACCCATGTCTTAAATATGATTGGTTCAATGATAACAAAATGTAACGCGTATTTTTAGGTAGATATTATAAATAAAAAAGAAACATCCCAAGTTTCATAATGAATCGTAAATCTCCGTGTCACCATAATTTTTAGGCTCGTGACAGATCATGAGATGAGGTTTTAATCATTTATGGTTATGATAAAGTGTCAAAATCTACTGCCTTAATTTTAATCTCAAAGGAACTCGTTTGTTCTTCCTTATGCTTTTAATATTAAATGGTGCGTATCTTTCATCTTCCGACATGTTATCCTATAGTGGGCTTGAGTAAGTAAGTCTACTTGGATATCTTTGTTCTTATCATGAATATCTGACGACAAGCACATTGAAGTGAATTTTACAATTAATTAGGTGGGTCCATTTGAATCGTCAATTGTCTTTTGTCGGGTGAACAATAAAGCATCATCAAGTCCTAAGTCTTAATAATGTCTCTTGTTGGGATTATCCTCTTGAGACTTTGTATTCATATGTGCCCAATTTCTCTTCCGATGGCATCTGCTAAGATGTCAGACTCTCTCTTTGATCGAATCAGGTCTAACACTTTTTGTGTTTTATTAATAGTTCTGTAGGTTTAACACAAGTAATTGTTTGAGGATAAATAATTTTTTATTGGGTCATGCGGTTGATGATTGAGAAAATTTGATACATTATTAATGATATATTTTGACATGATAATGAAATCTTCCGCTTGGATTTTTTTCCCTACCGTTGATGTAATTTTTGGAACCGATGACAATTTTTCTTTAATGACAAGAAATTCAATTGATTCGATTTTCAAGTTTGGATGACGCTTAAATTTCGGTATATCTTTAGAAATCACGTGCCTGCGACATGATCTAAGCGCTTCTCGAAATCTCTCGAAGGGACTGTACCCGGGTTTTTAAACTTGTATTTATCACGTGAATTCTACTTATAGTGCAATTTAATGGTTCCTCTTTCGAATATCTATCGTTTGACATGGAAGTTAACAAGAAAAGAATGGTTTATCATGAACGTCAAAGATTGTTTTATTGCGGCCAGGTAAGTTTATATCTAATACAATAAAAAGAATTTGTTTGTAAATTCAACGACGGCTTAGCAATTAATTCTTGGCATTCAACAAGCACACTTTAAATAATCTAGTAAGTTCATGTACAAATTCAATATATTTCATCATAATTCATTCATTAATTTGAATTTTTTTTTTTTTTTTTTGAATCAATAGTTTCAAGATAAAGTTTTCACAAACGAACAGCTCAACAATGTCGCTCTAAAATTGGCCGAAAAAACTAGTTCAGAATTTTCAACGTGGAGTTCTTATTTTGTCAATCCACACAAAAGTGTTTTGTAAGTTCTTTTCATATGTTGATAATAGTTCTCATTTCCGTAAAATAATTGATCTATTGAAATTTCATAGTGGAGTGGGTAATTATGATATTAACGTTTTGGAAATGGCACTGAGGGAGAAAGATTTGGAAATACAATGGTTCGATGTTAGAAAAGGTATCGTCGTATATAGAAAGTGAAAGTGATTGTGATGGAATTTATTGTATCCCTTATTAAAAAATGCTAACTTTAGATATTCGATCCGTCATCCAATTCACCGATAAATCTCTTTTCGGACTTATTTTAAATATTCCAACAACGCGTTTTTATTTTTGGACATCCTATCATTGGATCGCTATTAAATCCTTTCAATATAACGAGGAGCCTACCGAAGTTTACAATTTGGATTCAAAGTTATACCACCCCGAAAAATTCGAGAACTTGGAAGAGGTAATTTTGTTTTTAATTGCGTAACTTCCGTAAGAAAATATGTATATACAATTTACATAATAATAATATTATTATTTAGGTTTATAAATTTCTTGAATCTGCTTTGTATCATAAAAATGGGAATTTATTGCTTGTAAAAAAAAAGTTGAATTTAGCTTATACAAAATAATGGCGCAGTTAATTTTTCAAGACGCGTCGCATGTCATGTGATGTATATATTATTGATCGTGTTTAAACTTCATTGTTTATTTTTTTTGTGCTCGTTAGCCTAGATAAACCTTCAAAAAAAGTAAATTTTTTTTAAAGTATTGGAAAAAATTTTTAAACGCGTTCTGTAAAATCTTGATCAAACATGGAAGATTCCACTATAGTTTTGACACCCACTGCTATTTCTTCTATGAAACGTTCCGAACTTCAAAAATTATGTAAGAAATATGGACTTAAAGCTAACGGAAAGGTAGGCTTTTCTTTACAAATTTTTCTTTAAAAGAACCATTATTATTATTATTATTGTTGTTAATTATCAAGTTTTAAAATTGATCTTGAATAGAATACAGACCTACAGAAAAAATTACGGCAATATGCGTTAAATTCTGAAAGAAGTGATAATGACATGGAAGATATATTGATGACAAACGTTGATCATATTTCTGACTTACGAAACCAATACGCGGTTAGTGTATCAGAACCCGTTACTCCCCAAACACCAAGCGCAATTCCACTTGAACAACAAAACAAAATTAGAAGATCTCTAGTCGAAGATACTCCAACAAATATAAAGTCAACTTATCAACATGAAATTAAAAGAATCGAAGTTGAAAGTGTTGTTCATGACTATAAGACTCCCATCAAACTCTCAAGTAAACCTACAAGACATTGGAATTCGACTAGTGCTCCCGAACCATGCCTTTCTCTCATCCTATATAATAAACCTAAATTTCCTTATTTTGCTAAGGAACAAGAGGGTTTGTGATCTAACGTTATGTTTATCCTTTTTGATAGAATATTAAAGTCATTTTATTTTAATAATATAATATTTTATGTATATATGTATTAGATAACGCGTTCGTATCAAAGACGGAAAGTGTAAATATTCAACAATTAGTAACTGATACTAATAACGTAACGAGAGATGGCACCTTAGAAGTCGCGGAAAAGCAAAATACTGACCAATTGGTTTTAGGTATCTTTCTGAAGTACTCTTTAATTTTATTTTACGCGTCTATTAATTTTTGATCTTTGAATTTGCTATGGTTTTTTATGCTCATCAAAGATGGAAAGGACAATTCGAATACAATAGTTTTCCAACATCAAAGTCCTGTCATTGAAGCGTTAGAGATAAATCGTAAAGATTCTACTCAAATTGATTAACGATCATTTTAAATCGCTTTAGGTTTTAATTACTAATTAATGCATCTACCCAATAATTTAGAACCATCCATTATGAATACAGAAACCAATATCTTTACTTCTCCATTAAACCGTTCTTGCGATTTGACACCAACTGGTAAATAGAATATTATTGATGCTTATTAAATACGTTTATAACATTTCCGTAATCTCAATTCTGATATACAATTTATATAGTGCCTCAGACACCTCCTGCAAAACATACCCGATCAGTAGAAACAGAACGAGCGTCTACAAATCTTATGGCACGTCTCATTGCCACTCCAATTCGAAAATCTGGAGTTCAAGCGAATTCTTTGACAGCAAATCGTGTGCCAATACATACTCCTAAAACCGAAGCTGGGCCTGCACTTGATAAAAATTCACCATTTGTCACAGCTGAAACTAAATTGAATTTTGAATCTATTTTACATAATGTATATTCAATTCAAGAGAGTGATGAAGATATCGATAATCAAGGAGATCCAATGGAGATTTGTGATGAACGTCCAAAAAGTACAGAGGTTGTAGATGAGATTGTAAATGAGACTGTGGATGTCCCATTAGTTAACGGTGAAAATACTGTTAATATTACTGCTTCCATTTACGAAGAAATGGAAAAGCGAGTTGATCAATTAAGAGCTTTACCATCCCCTGAACGTAAGAAGATTTTAGAAACGGATGACGCAAAAACCGAAATTCATACAAAATCTCCTTTCAAAAATGATAGCGTGACATCTTTGGTTAAGCCAACTCCTTCATCAATTAACCGTTTCAATCAACTTCATGAGAAAGTTTTTTCAAAGATGCCATCCATTGCTACACATTATTCCGCTCAAAAAACAACGAATGTTGAAGAAACTCAGAAAGAAGTTAATAAGAAACGTAAAATTCCAGACGTTGTGCATTCTCCGCTCAAAAAACAAAAATTGGTTGAAAAACCAGTTACGAAAAGGACTTATGATAAAAATAGAACAATACTTAATAATCGATCATCGATGCGTCTTATTTCGACAAAAGACAAAAGTGTTAGTCAAACCGAAGTTCAACCAAACGCGAGATCGATTCGGACTTCCTCTAGGCTTGATGCACGAAAGAGTCTCAAGAAAACGAGCTATACACCTCATAAAGGACCAGTTAAATCCATTATTCCGAATCCGGGGGAACAAAAAATGAAAGAACGCGAAGAATTCGAAAGGCGTAAGCAAGCTGCGAGAAATGGTATATTATGTTTACATCAAACTTTTTATTAAATCAAATAGTATAACAACTAATATATGCTTAACTCATCATTTAAAAGTTGCTCAACCTGTCTTGGAAAAGATGAAGAATCGAAGGAAGACAAAAGAGAACGTTGAAAAAGTAGTACAAAGTATTCAAGGCGTGGTATCCGATAAAGTTGAAAAGAAATCATCTTCGTTACCTAAGAAAGTTACCACTTTGGGACTTAGACAACAGAGTCAAAAGAAATCACAATAATTACATTTATTCTTTGTCGCTAATATAATGACGTAATGTTTGTTGATCACTGTTTTAATTTGTATGATGTAAATTTTAATCTTTGAAACTTTTTTTTTCTTTAGATCCTATTTTTAACCCTAAAAAATAAAAAGAACTTTAGCAAGATGTCTTTACCAAATTTGATTTAATAATATATAAAAAAAATTTGGAATGGTAAAGCTATCAAATTACTTCAAGTATACTACTTAATTACTAGTGATAATCTTGAAAAAGTTAATTAAAAAAAGGATATAATAGCAGTAAAAATTTTATCCGATACTCGTTTATATTTTTTTTTAAATATAAATTATTTAAAAGTGCAATCAATTCAACTAAAAAATTATATGACCTATAAGTCTTAAATAATAATATTAAAATATATACAGTATAGATTCTTTAAAAATTTTGAAATTACATAAAATTATTGAGCTTTAAGTCGTTGATCATTTTTGATCAATCCGAGAACAAAATTCGTAAAGTAATATACAAAAAAATTATTTTCTATTTCATTTTATTTCATTTGAAATCCCGATTTTCATTAACGAGACAATCAGCTATATTGCCGGATCATTCTTCGGGTTCTCCAACAAATGACTATAATAAATTACATACCTTTCACATCTAATATTATAATAGGATTGCTAGATGAATTTTTGATTATTCTCAATAAAGACTTATTTAGAGTATAATTACACTTTCTTATTCACAATAATAAAGTCATAATCCATCATTGAACCTTTAAGACCGAAAAGTTTTTGAAGACCTTCAAGTAATTCAACAAAATCATTCCATGTGCTTATTTTTCATAGAAATATTCTTGATTGGTTATATTGACAATATAGTAAGAAATTGTACAAGTTATCAAACATTCTCTGGATGAAATGAAAATAAGAAAGCAGTTTAGATCCGGAAGTAGATACTTGCTTTCCTCTTCAACTTTAAGTATTTTCTTATTATGATTCACTTATTCGGAAAAGGGTTAAATTATAATAACATAAATATGTTTTTTTAGAAGGGTTTGATAATAAAAAGCAGGAAAAAAAAGCATAATATTAAGTAAGTATTCAGAATTATATAATTATATGACAAAGAAAAACAAAAAAATTATGCTATATCATATTGATTAAAATTTTCGACTCACTAGTGATAATAGTATTAATAATAACTTAAATAATATTTTCTTAAAAGTCATAAAAAGCATTGCCAACCTTTTATATTGAGATTTTATTTTATTTTCATTAGCTAATATACCATTTGAAGAATCACTCTTCAACTAATTCTTAAGAGTTCTACTAAAGGTAGTTTTTCAATATGTTTTCATTTATATTGATAATATATGCAAAAATAATACTTATTTTTAATAGATTATACATACTTAGAAATACTAGATGAATCTCACTGAAGTGTATAAAATATTGAATATATTAATAATCACTTAAAATATAATAACTATAAGATATAAATAAACATTATATAACTTTATATTTTTAAAGAGCTTATATAAAAATATAATGAAATACAATTGATAATAATAAAGAATTTAGAGAATATTATAAAATTTTTATTATAAATCAAAAAATTAATTTAATAAAATTCCAATTAATTTGTACATTTAATAAATCACACTCTTATTTTATCTGAAGAAAGATCAATTAATTATTATTAGTAGTTTTGAATTGTTTTAAATATACTTTTTAAAGTGCAAAATTAATAATATTTTATACACTAGGTGAAAATAAGTTTGCGTGATTTTTAAAAAAATCGGTTATTATAATTTTTTAAAAAAATATTGACATCTAGTTGGTTAACCATTATTAGCAATACATGTTTCTATTATCAATTAATTTTAGGTAAGTTTCTTGTAAAAATTTTTTCCATTCTTCTTTAAGTTGTATTTCTAAATCTGCAAGATTTTAGGAAGATCAAAATAATTATACAATAAACGATCAAGATGATCCTAAAAGTGCTTAATAGGATTCAAATCTAAAGATTGAGTAGGCCATTCAGTTAATATTTTAATTTTTTTTCAGCAATCCCATGCTTTAACAACTTTAGCTATATGATTGGATCATTATCATGCTAAAATTTATCCCTTAGATTGTCTAGCAGGCAAATTTGCCTGCGAACTTAAAAAAATATGTTATTTTTTTTAATAAAATATTAAATATTAATTTTAGTAATATAATAATAATATGAAAA